TTTAAGTCATTACAGGAGATTATCAATGCTGGATGTCTGCATAGCAAAAATAACATTCCTTGAAGATTCAGACCTTAGAAGCCAAGTAGAAAGAATTGCAAACTTCTTATTTTACAATGCCTCAGGCAGAAGTCTCAAAAACTTAAGGTTTCTGAGCAGCTGGGATTGCCTCTTCTATTCTTTGCCTTGGCTAAGTATCTATCACAGCATTTCAAACCATTAACATAATTTTAGTCCAAATTATTGCAAACCTAACTTCAGGCATATTCATAGATACTCCAATAGCCAAAATTGTACTTGCATACTTACACTCATGCAAGTGCTTGTTTACCTCCTGAGTGAGATCAGGACAAACCAGAAGCATCTAATATTACCAGGAGGAAAAGCAAAGCTCCAATGTAAAACAGAGTCCTCTAGTGCTAAAGGAATGAACCTGTTTGGTGGGATGTGCTGAAAAATCCATGAAGGAGAGAAAACATTCACACATCACAGGAGACAGATGAAGCTAAGTTTTCACTGTGCCAAACTATCTTCAGCCAGCCTGAAGACCAGTGCCTGACTGAGCACATGACAAGCAGTCAACCCAAAGAAAGAAGGAAATCAATCTGTCCTCATTCATACAAAGAATGAGCCTTAACATGGATCTTTGAAAGCACGCCCACTGTGCATCAATAATAACGATGCTACTTCACTCTTCTGCTCTGAGGAGAAAAAATTTAAATAACACACTCTTGGCTCTGTTGAATAACCAGCTACCATCAGGACAGTGACTCAGAAGTCACTGCTTGCAAGCCTGAGGTTCACTTTGCACAGCCAACTGAACCCTCTTCATATAGGAAGCATCAGATTGATTCCCAGTCACTTGCCAAGGCCAGCCAGCTAGCCCAGAGTCTCATAGCTGACTTTGGATGCAGATGCCAGCATAAGATAAGTGACATGACTTACTCAACCCCAGAACACATACAAGCTGCAAGGGTACATGAAGAGAGCTGACACAGTGGCTTTGTTATTGCCTAGTCCACAGCTCCCTTGTAAGCAAGCATAAGGCTAAAATTATGTAGCAGAGAAATGCAGTTTCTATGTCATCAGAACGGACTCACATATGACTTAATGTCATTGATTGACATTAAGGAAATGACAAACATGTCTTAATTACCTCCTGCCCAGGACAAAAAGGAATACGCCAAGTACGTAAGTAATTTAACAACTTTTGTTGATTAGAACATCAATTATATCACCTCCAAAGTTGGTTGTGTCAACAGCAAAGTTGGAATGGAATTGCCACCCTTAAAGTGCTCAGTTTTCTTCAGCTACGTGTTCCAGCCAGTTAATTTTTTAACAGACCACAATCCAACTGTTTCATTCTGATAACACCTAGGGCCACTAATTAAGGGCTTAGTTTGACTTGCAATGCACAGACTTGTTCCAACCAGATGTTCTCTGCCCCAAGGAGCTTGCTTGCAAGCAAAGCTTAGAAAATAGACACCTACACTTTAGCCACTACACAAATACGCAAGGGCACAAGAGTTGAAGAGGGATTTGGAAGAAATGCATTTGTGTGAGAAACCCCTACCCCAAGTTGCAGAGATGAACAAGAAGTTTCATTTATAGAGAGCTCACCAAGTCGGTTGGAAAGTACTTGTAAGGGCTCAATATCAGTAGTCCATCACATAAACCCACATGCAACCCCAGGACAGGCATTTTAACAGCTCCTTGAACAATTTGACTTATAGTTCAGGAAGAGCTTCTAAGGGCTACCAGTCCAAAACTATGAAAGAAAATAGTAAGAAAAACTGTGCTAGACTGTAATACTGGATAACCAACAAATAATTCAGGCCTTGAGTTACAGGCCACTCACTTTCCTTATTTGAAGGATTTCACTACAGTATGGGACAGCCCCCTGTTACCACTCTTCTCTCTTGGCCCACAGAGTCTGCTCTGGAACAGACCCAATTGCCAGCTGTTATCAAAGATGAACCCTAACCTGTAAAGTCAGATCTGCTTTTGGCTCCCAATTTCGAACAGCCAGCCAAAAACTGGAGGTTTCTGCATCTGGCCTAATCTCTAGCAAATAACACCAGACCATTGAAGCAAGAGGTGGAACAACAGGCTGAGAGGCACAAGGCTCCAATTCACAAGCCTTTCTTGGGTTTAGCCACAGCAGCTGAAGGACTTTAAGCCAATGGGCTGGACTATGAACTGTAACAGCTCAGGAGCGGACACACTACCACTGAGCTAACCCTGCTACAGGGGCATGAGTGTCCAGTGGGGAGACAGCAAAGTCAGCAGGACCAGTCTTCCAAGGCTAAAGCAAATTTGAACCCTAACTACCACACTTCACAGCCCAGCCACCCTTACCAGAAACAGCTGGCACCACATACTAACCCAACAGCAGGTGAAGTGTCAGTCAATCTCTCTTGTCATTATGGTGACTTCTAGTGAAAGTGTAATAAAGTGACATGAACTTCCTCAGCAACACCAGCAGAAACCAGCAGACCTCTTGAGCCAAAGCCCTCTGAGCAGCCTTAGTTGTCAACCGCCTAAAGACCAACTTTAGGAGGGGGAAAATAAAAAACCCAGAGAAGTCCCTTACAGCAGCACCTAAAGCTTATTTCCTGGATTCACTTACAGGAGGCAATGGCAGCCTCTCAGGTTCTCCAAATGGAGGAAGGTTAGGAGGACCTATGGCAGCCACACTAAACCAATTCAGGATACATGGTACCAAAAGGAATCTTCACAGCAGGCAGAAATTTCATCCTGAAAAGATTCCCAAAGCTTGCATGTCAATCCAAGGTTTGTCAAATCTCCCAAGCTTACAATTTACCCAAGGACAGTCTCCCGGGACTTTGCCTAATGGCAGTACTGTTTCAAGCTAGAAACATAACAGCAGCTTGTTTTCCCTTGAATATGACTGTTGTTGGAAGCTCCCACAAAGAGCAAAAGCAAGCAGATAATGAAGGAGAAGGGCAGCCAAGCACACTGGTTTTAAAGCTCAGAAAGCTCTTGATTTGGGTGGTAGATGCTGATCAGTTCTTAGTCTATCCAAATTAGTTGCTCATTCTCCACTTACACTACTACAGACCTGATTTTATGCTCACACCTAACTTTTCACTAGGTTTCAATGACAGCAGACTGGACCTTTTAAATAATGCATGTACCACACATGCCCAAACACACACAGACCTGCACACAGAGCAGTGTAAGGAAGTTGAGAAGACAGAAGTCCGGTCTATGCCCAGCAGCCCCACATCATCTGAGGGCAGTAGAAGGAGATGGTACAGGACACTTGGCCTCATCATGTGGTCCACACACAGTGTGGCCACAGGAAGCTCCCACACCACTCACAACACCCATCCCGTGTCCACACCTGCAAGGAGATCTGGCCCAACACTTAAGAGAATACTGCATGCTCTGTTAAGCAATTAGTATGCTTGTAGGATGCTCAACCAAGACCAGGCAGCTGCATGTGGTCCCCAAAGGCCTACAAAATATACATAAACCCAGAGTTTGAAAGCCTGGCTTTCTGCCCATACACATGTATACCACTCATTGTACCACTCCCCACGGCATGCTGCAACGCTACCTCTGATGGTCTATGCATTAGCCTTGCAAGAAACAGTTGCAAGCTTAAGTCTCCCTTCTCTATTGAGCCTGCAAAAATGCAGACCACCTGTTTGCAGCACAAAACCTTGGCACTAATAGGAACAAAATGGCTGCAGATACCCACTCCTGTGGGTTTTCCTGCATGCCTCCAAGCATCCTGAAAGCTCCTTCCAAAGATTCTCATGGTTTCACAACCTGAGGCTCCAAGAGACAAATAATAACACTAAAGGAGGCAATTCTAGCCACAAGGCCCAGAAACAGCGTTCAAAAGAAATCCCCCACTGCCTCTGCCAAGATATTCCGCACTGAATACGTCCACTACAACCTTATTTTATTTCCAAAAATAAAATCTAATCCTGCCTCCCTCAAGAGCCACAGAGTGTGCAGTCCCTGCAGGAAGAACATGGACGCAGCAAACTTTGAGGAAACATCAGCACTGTTTCTAACAAAGTTGCCATCAGCCTGTCCAGAGTGACTGCGCAGAAGTGCAGCCACACAGCAATCCGCCTCTGTGTAACACATACAAAAGACTCCACTAGAGTCTGGTATACGGATCCCCAGCCCCCAACTCGGGCAACAAGGGCTGCTACTTTTCCCAGATCCCTTCTTTGATTTGGGGCCAGGCACTACACTTCTCACAGTACTGATGCCAATCCAGAGTAACTCTGCTGATTTCAGCAAGTATCCCTCAGTTCACAACACTTTTGCCAAATCAGGATCTGGTGATTTTTTGTAAGCAACTCATCACGACTCCATTTTTATCCCACGGCATATGGCTCAAAAATTTCTCCTTGCATTTGGCAGGAAGAGCTTAGACACTTCTTATCCTAAATCTGTGATCCTCAATTTTCTTTTGAACACTAAGAAAGGATGTAAGCAGAGTTCAGAAAGCCATGGGTCAATGCAGTGAGCCAGGTTGCAAACTTCAGCTCAGATTCCAGTCTTCAAGACCAGAAGGGAGAGAAATGCAAATAACCAGCTGGAAGGCATATTAGGCAAACCATGTTTGTACATTACCTAGCACACTGGGGTTCTAGCCAGGTGAAGGCTGGGAGACAACAGACTGCACACATACAAAGGTAACTAGACAGACAGGCAAATGCCTATATAGCTAAATGTGAACCCTATTAAAAGTAAATACTTCTAAAGAACAGATAGATACATATGCCTTTATCCACTTTTCTGTATTACCTATTGAGTTGTGCAGGGTAACTCAGAGCAAAGCAACAGGACTTCAGTAACAGAAATACAGCCTAGGCCAGTTCCTACTGAGCACACTGGCTGAGAGGAAACTGGCCCAGCATAATAAACACTGCAAGTTACTAGCGTCTCAAGGCCCCGTTATTAGTTACCTGAAGGGTGCAAAAAACAACCGAGAGAAAAGCAGCTGTTCTTACCTTTAGCTGGAAAGGTTGAATTTCGTTCAAACTCTGGTTCTTGAGCTTTTTGGTGAGGATCTTCAGCATGGTACAAATCCGAGGAGCGAAGAAAGTGTTAAGCATA